ATTTTTTCTCCAATATTATATTTCTTTTTTTCACTTTTTCCCTTTGTTTTTCATAATGAAAAGCAAATCACACAATCACATTCTTATCAATCAAGACATCATCTAAACTATTAATCCCTTATTTCATCTCACAAGTAGAAAATATACATTTAAAACTCTCTTACAAGAGATATTCAGAGCTGCACTAATATAAATTCAAACATGCTCATGATGTAGGAAATTGAGATTTAAAGAAAGAAATTGAATGGTGGCTCTCTTGATTCTTATACATTTTAAGCTCAAAGGGATGCTAGTGATTAATGAAATAAGATAGGCTTGAAAGGCTCAAATGGTCAAAAGGAAGTCCTCTATTATCGTCTTTAAGTCAATTTAGACTGTGCAGAATTTAGCCTCAAGATGTAATAAAACAAGTTCAAGGATGAATGAAAGAAAAAATTTCACATGATCATTTACTAAACATTCACAATTTACTAAAAAAATGGTTTCAAAGTGTTCAAAAACTTCATCATTCATGATGTGGATAAAAACAACACAAGATTACTCAATTACACAACTATTACTCAATTTATTCTCTCAATTATAATGTATAAACACCTGTACAAAAACATTTGAACTAAAATCTGGAATATGAATAATAGTCTTGGATCTCAGTTATAGAACAAAGCTTCAATCAAATGTAAACAAAGCCCAAGAGAATCAAAATTTAGTTGTGAAAGATTTCAGATTTCTAAGAAGATTTCCACCTCTGTCATGCACTATTTAAATTTCATGAAAACCCTAGTCTTGTATTAGTATTGAAGGGAATTATTCATATTTCACATTTACAAATTCATTTTTTATACTTTTCAATTCAATTTTTCTTTATGACAAACACTTGTGTAGACCTAGTTTTGTAGACCTAGTGGCCGAAATTTTGTCATATTTTCAATATTTGAATTGGTGAGATGGTGTGTCAAATTTAAACTACTAGATCTACATAGATCTGGTCTACCCAAGTGTTTCCCTTCTTTTATACCATAGTTTTCATTAGAGATCAAAGACGCTGCAAACGCATGTAATCATGCGCAAACAAAGGCATAATAGGACAAGAAAATTCTAGACTGCGCATCATAAGGTTATAATAGTTCATGAATTTATATTCATATGTAAGTTTATCATTATATTCTAGAAATAGATAGAATATATATGTTCCATTAACTTGACTATAAGTGACGAGTAGCAAAGTACTTACTTCTGAAGTTGAGGATGGCAAACTACACTCAAAGTGAAAGTTCAAAAATATTTTACTGTAAACTACATTTTAAAGTCCACCTTCTTTTCTTTCTTTCTCATGCCTAGTTCCCTTTGTTTTCTTTCAACAATTTTGAATATAGTTGCTTCTTTTGAACTCTACTAATGATACACACATTTTCTGATAAAGTAAATCTTATATATACTGACAGTATATACACTATTATCACCATTGGATCCATGACACGCGCAAAAGTTGAATTTCAAATTCAAATTTTGCTTAGTTGTCATTCATTCAAAACTGACAGTGTATATACTGTTGGGGTCAAAAAATAGTTTGGTTTCAACTATTTCTTGTGATTTCAGCTGCCTCCTTCAAGGCAAGATTGTCATTACATTGGGGTTAATAATCATTTGTTGCATTGGGTGCAAGTTATTGATGGTAGAAATTTCGGTGAAACTTCTTTGTTACCTATTCTCACTTTTGAGCTTTAAAAGTTGGTTGACTATTTGGTAATTTTATCTTCGTTGTTCTAATATCAAGCTAATTAGTATCCAAATGATTAGGAACCATAATTGCAATAAATTATCCATGTCCTAACGGTTATTTTTTGCGCTTAGATTTCACTGTTCATTTTATGTTATTCGACTCTTTTAGAATTATATAAGTAAATAAGAATAGTGGTATGAGGTTTTTGTTGTTTTTTGTAGAACATTGTTAGGCAGTAATTTGTGTGAAATTAGTTTTTTTTTTGCCCTTTAGGTGTTAGATGGTTAAAATACTTGTTAGGGCTATTATTAATTTACTCCCTTAATGTTTGGTGTCACTATCAAATTTTCCCTTAACATTATCTTTTAGTCACTTTACCCCCAAAACTAACGGTCAAAATTAACGGAGTTTGTTAATTAAAGTGAAAAGAAATGTTTATCCCTTATAATTATTATCACTTTATCCCCATAAAATATAGTCTCAGTATCAATTTATCCCAGAGTTATGCTTTAGGTAATTTACCCACCATGAAACCAACTTAACAAGTTAAAAAATTTTAGAAGAAAGTACCCTCCTCTTTGTATAATAAAAATAATAAAAATTTAAAGTGACTCTTCTCCTTGTTAGTATCAAGAAAAAAAGTCAATGTATTAATCTCTCTTTTCTTGCCAATCTTATTAATATTGAAAACAATAGAAAGATGGGGAGGGAGAGGGGGAGGGGGAGAGAGAGAGAGAGAGAGAGAGAGCACTCAATTATTTTTTTTAAATACAAATAAGAAAGAATGAAATATTTTTATTATTTTAAAATTATTTTATTTTTCTATTTACCACCTAATTCCAATTCGAATCCCGACAACCTTAAAATAATATGATAATGTTAGACTCTTGTTTATTTGCTTTCTTTGTAAAATCAAATTTTCTATCTCCTTCTCTCCAATCTCTTTTTCTTTTCCTAGTATTAATAAGTGTGAAAAAAGAATTTTGAAAAAATTCTTTTATTTTTATGTTTTTGGATCTCTTAAAATGAAAACAACAGGAAGAATAACCATTCCAACTTTTTTATTTTTAATTGTATATAAAAAGGGTAAATACATTTAAAAATTTTTTACCATATTGGTTAGATTAACGATGAGGTAAAATGTTTAGAAAATAATGTTAAGGATTAAAGCAATTGTATTACTATAATTTAAAGGAATAAAATGATAACAATGTTGTAATGCTATATAACAAAAGGGTACTTTTGTCCAAATATTCTTAATATGTTGAGTTGAATTATCTATGGGGTTGAAGTAACTAAAAAATAACGTTATGAGGTAAACTGATAGTAGTGATATAGTTTAAGAGGGTAAAGTGATAATAACCCTACTTGTTAAGCCACGTGAATTAAGTTGCATTCACATTTGCTAATTATTTTTGTGTAATGTTTATTATACCCTCAAAATTAGATACATAGGTGATATTTTGTTTTACAAATGGTGATTTATTTATCAATTCATTTATAAGGGCAAATTTAACTGTTGTAAGAAATTCAATGTTATTAACTAATTGATTGCATTAATAGCCATTACAATTGCAAAAAATTGTAATCTTTTTCGTCTAGAAACTGAAAAGAGGGAATTTAGGCAGACTCTTATATTCATCCATTATTTCATAGTTTTAATTCATCCATAGGATTTCTTTTCCTCCCATACTGTTTGGAAAGTCATTTTTTCTCAAAAATTTTTACGTTTTTTGTGAACACATTTTTTAATCATATTTTTACCTAACATACATCAAATCACTACAGTACATTTTTCTACAAAAACTCCTAAAAATTACAATCCAAACAAGGTCTGTCTGCTCCTACAGTCTATCTTGGGATTTGGTATTTTTCCTTTTCTTCCTTCCAAATATCTTCCTCGAGTGCATCATCTTTTCCTTCTTTATCTTTTAGAAATTTTGTTGTACAAATTCTGGAATATGGTAATTTATTACTTGGTTCCAGTATAGATGTATCTGTTAGTTTGTACTCTCTTTTTTAGTGATGAGATTTTTTTTATTTAGTTATGTACTTGAAATTTGAAAACTAGATTTGATTTGTAAAAGATTTTAAGTTAGTTGCTAATTATGTGCCTATTGCTTATTATTAGTAGGGGTGAGCGAATTTGGTAAAAATCGAATTCATACCCGATTTCAAATTTAATTTGGTAATTTGAAATCGGGTATTTGGTAATTTGGTACATAAATGGTATTTACCAAATTCACCGAATTCTAATGTGGTATGAAATAGGTAATGGGATTATCAATTTGGTAATAACTGATTTCCAATTCAAATTTGGTAAAACGAAATAGAGTACCGTATTACCGCATCGAATACCAAATTAGTTTATAAATTTATATATTATATAGATAAATGCTATATACTATTAATACATTATATAGGTAAGGCTGTTAATAATAGATAATATATAGTATTATCATGTACCTATAATAATAAAAATATATAATGATGTAAAATATACTATTTTTGTATTTGTTATATGATTATAATAATACAAATATACAATAATACATAACTATAATATTTACCCCTTTATACATAACTAGAATTAGATAATAAGCATAAGTATAGTACTAAATATTAAACATAATTAGTAATTAGAATTTAGACATTGGTTCATCATTTATGTTTGGATTATTAAATATTTGAATGTGTAATGTTTAACTTGCAAGTATTAGTATACTCTAAATTTATATTACATATACAATATGTGAATTTATATTCTTTAATCACTATTATTGTTTAAACGAAGACAACTAAGCAGTATGATTAAGTAGTTTAAGTGAATGTATATGAATTGCATATCAAAATATTAGTGTATTAGTATTTACCGTTGAAAGCAATCAAGTTATTTGCAAATTAAACATTTAAACTATATAAAAAAATAAAAATAAATGTAAGTGTAATGCAATACATCATTAGTAAATTATAAGTGACTAAATGTATACAACTACACAAGTGAGTCCCATTTAATTATGTGAAAATTACTTTTCAATTCGGTTATAACCGATTTCATAATCGTTTTCAAATTCAATTTGGCAACCGAATGAATTCGGTTATTTTCAATTCGAAATTGAAAGCGGTTTAGAGTTTTACAAGTGAAATAACTGAAAAAACCGAATTCAAATAACCGAATTTGTACTGAATGCACACCCCTAATTATTAGTAGTGTTTCATATTGGTTCAGATTAAGTAATGTTTTTGTACTTGCTTAGTGTTTTGATATCCAATCTTTGCAATGTTGGCCAAGGTCCCTGACATGGAGGAAGTTCGCCTTTGGGTGTTTGCCATGGACAGAGAGAGTGCAGCTGGGCCAGATGGGTTTACTGGCAGGTTCTTTACGTTTGCATGGGATGTAATTGCTCCGGACGTGCATAGAGCAGTGGTGAGTTTCTTTTGTGGCAGTGAGTTGCCTCGGTTCATAACCTCTACCTCAATCGCCTTGCTTCCAAAAGTCGTGAATCCTCAAGATTTCTTAAAGTTTAGACCGATTAGCCTCTGCAACTTCTTCAACAAACTGCTATCCAGAATTCTGGTGGGTCGGCTAGCTTCGGTGGTGTCGAAAATTATATCCCCTCAGCAATCAGGGTTTGTCAAAGGCCGTACTTTAACGAATAACTATTTGTTGGCTCAGGAGCTTGTGTCGGGCATCGGCAAGAAGACAAGAGGGGGAAATGTAGCATTGAAACTTGATATGACCAAGGCCTATGATCGGATGTCGTGGTGGCATATTATTTCCATGCTGCGTGCTTTTGGCTTTGGAGAGAGTTTGATTGATCTGGTCTGGAGACTTATTTCAAACGTCTGGTTTTCTATAATTATCAATGGTAAATCTCATGGGTATTTCAAATCTAGTAGGGGTTTACGTCAGGGGGATCCTTTATCACCAGTGCTTTTCATCATAGGTTCGGAGATGCTCTCGAGGGGCCTCAATGCTCTAGCATTGCAGCAGGGTTTCATAGGGTTTAAAGTCCCGCCAGGCTGTCCTGTCGTCACACACTTGACCTTTGCTGATGACGTGCTCATTATTGCGAATGGTTCCACGGCTGCTTTGAAGCGCGTAATGCAGGTCCTGGAGGCATACCAGTTATCCTCGGGCCAACTGGTAAATGCTCATAAGAGTGGTTATTTGATCCATGAGGCGCTTCCTCCAGCTAGGAGGAGGGTGATCGAGCGGGTTACGCACTTCTCTAGACAGTGGTTTCGAATTCATTATTTAGGCTTTCCTTTGTACACGGGGAGAAGCAAAACAGTGTTCTTTGGGGAGGTGTGTCAGGCGGTCTTGGCTCGAATTATGTCTTGGAAGGCAAGGTTGATATTTCATGGGGGGAGAATAATCCTGATAAAGCATGTTCTGTCATCCATTCCTGTCCACTTACTCTCTGCTGCGGTATGTCGCGTCTCGATTTTCAAGAGAATCGAGCAGGCGTGCGCAAAATTCTTATGGAGGTCAGCTACTGACGAGGCGAAATTCCATTGGATCAGATGGGCTCAATTATGTCTCCCGGTCGCGGAGGGGGGCGTGGGTTTCAGAAGGCTCCGAGAGGTATACTCAGCTTTCTCTTGCAAATTGTGGTGGAGTTTTCGAGCTGGCTCATCACTGTGGGCAGAATTTATGCGGGCAAAGTACTACAAAGGTCTCCATCCGGGCTAGGTGGAGATGAGGCCGCACGACTTGCCGACATGGAAAAGAATGTTAAACATAAGTCGGAAGGTGGAACTATCCATGGTATGGTTGGTGAACGGGGGAACGTGCAATTTTTGGTTTGACAATTGGATGGGGAGTGGAGCTCTATGTCTGAAAGCTACGGTGGCTCTAGGGTTCAACTTCAAGGATTTCGTTGCAAGTGGCGTTTGGGACATAAATAGGTTGGGTCAGCATGTGCCACAGGAGCTGCTTCATCAAATCTTACGGCACCCTGTCCCATCAGGTGAAAGCCGCGATGAGGTCATTTGGCGACTGACCGCGTCGGGGAGATTCACACTAGCTTCGGCTTTTCATGATGTCCGGCAAGCTGGCAACACCTCGGTACTCCACTCTCAGGTTTGGCATCCTCAGATTCCGTTGAAAATTTCTTTTTTCATGCTTCGCTTACTAGGGGATAGGTTGCCCTTAACTGTGGTGTTGTAGAGGGTGGGGGTCCAATTGGCTTCTAAGTGCCTATGTTGCCAATAGGAGGCGGCTGAGCAAGTGGAGCACGTTTTCTCGGAGGGGCAGGTTGCCCAGGGAGTATAGGACTATTTCGGTCGGCTTTGTGGGGTTGTACGGAGAGGCTCAACTCTACGGGCTTGGCTAACGACTTGGTGGATGGCGGCACCTAGGTCAGAGAAACGTCGGCTCCTGTTCTCAGTCCTTCCATGCTTTATTTGCTGGCACATCTGGAAGGCTCAGAATAAAGCATTCTTTGAAGGAACCCAAATGAGGGTGGTGAAGATTTTTCAGGACGTCATGATAGAGGTGAAGGGGGTGCTGGAAGGTAAGTTCAAGCAGAGAATTGGGGTACACACGTTTTCTCAGCTGTACGAATGGACTAATCAATCACCCCACTATAGTTTGCAACTGGTGCGGTGGAGGGCAATGGGGGATAGCATGTTAACGTTAAACACGGACGGATGCTCCAAGGGTAACCTGGGGGAAAGCGGAGGTGGGGGAATACTTCACGATGTGTCAGGATTGCCAATTTTTGCTTTCTCGGCATCGTTCGGGATGACTTCGAGTATACGCGCAGAAGTATTGGCATTGGGTACGGGTCTCCGGCTATGCCAACAAATGGGGTATGCCAAAGTCAATATTCAGGTTGATTCAAAGGTCTTGGTTGGGATTCTTCATCGGGAGCTGGACTGCCCATGGATGGTTCGAAGGGAGGTTAACCAAATTTGGGGTATGGGTGTCGAATCGGAGCAGGTTACTCATTGCTACAGAGAGGCAAATAGAGTGGCGGACTGTTTGGCCAATGTGGGGGTTGTTGCTGGGGGACTGGGGGTTACTGTCTATGATCAATTCAGTGCAATGCCAGGGTTAGTACGGGGGGAAGTTCGCTTAGATAGGGCAGGCATCCCCTCGGTCAGAAGGAGGAGAGTAGGATAGCTTAGGATTTTTCATTCGGGTTTTCTAGCCTTATCTGTATCTTCTTCAGTTCGGTTTGACTAAATAAAGAAGTGTTTTGGAAAAAAAAAACTTCATTAAAGGCGTCTAATGGTTCTATGATTTTATTAATATATAAGTGATGGCAATGCGTGCCTACTTCAGCAAGTGATTCCTCATAGCAAGACAATATTTCACATACTTTTTTTAATAGGTTATGATGTCACGTACTTTCTTACAACTCTCACAATAATTGTTCATCTACCTATTTTGTCGTCTCATATTTTCCTACATTTACCATACCGGTTACAATGACACCTTTTCATGGACCTAAGTATTTAGCCAAATTTGAAATATTGTAATTTCTTCCTCTTCTTTTTTTTTTTAAAGTGCCACCCACATTATCAATTTTAGAAGTTTAAGTAAATTAGAATCAGATATGTAGCTAATTATCATGACTACATCAGTTGTAATTTCTAATATTCTTTTGTAAATATTCTACTTTTTCTTGTAATCAAGAATTAAACAAAACTTCAGACACAGGCACCTACTCCCACGCATATTGCTAGCTAATTTCCCCTAGTCTAACAATAGTAATGCACACATTGTTTGTGCCAAAAACACTAGTAAGAAAAAAATAGGGAGAATTTCATATACCTCCCATGAGCTTTTTAACACTTGCATTTGACGTCCCCTGAGGTTTTAAAAATTTCATTGACCACCCTTGCTTTTGAGTTTTTGGTAACAATTCAGTCCAAGTAGCATTAAAATAGTATTTTCATGAATGAGATGAAAATTTTATTCCATGAATGCCCTCGTAGTCCTTGTATTAGTAAAAGATTAAAAGTCATTAGAAGGTTAAAATGATTACTAAAATTTAGGGGATGTAGGTGCAATATTGAAACTTTGGCTTCATCAGATGCAAACTGAAGCAATGTTTCAGCAGCAATTGCAATGGCTAGTTGCAGGTTCCAACAACCAAATTTCTTATTCAACAATAACTAAGATCAAAAGGAAATTTATACATGTATTGTTGTAGTTGCAACTCTAAATAGCAGAAAATATTTCAGTCATTACCTTGATTTAGACCTTACATAACCTTCACTTTTTTCTTTTTTTGGTATGAATTGAAAGTTTCAAATCTAAAATTTCTCATTTACACTCCCTTCCTCTGTATCACCCAATCTATCCCTCCCTCCTTACACCTTCACTTCCTATAGCTTCACTTTGCTGCTATCACCGAATATCAAAAGAACAACATCAAAAACTTTGCCTTAATTTTGTTCATCTTCTTCCTCTTTTTCTTTCTTCTCTATTTCTTCCTTTCGACTCTATATGGCTCAAATGCAAGAAAATTGATCCCTTCTCCTTGTCAAATCATTGCAGTCACAAAAAATGGCGCCATATTTGTGTCTAAGTTGGTGCCTTTCACTAAATTGCATAATTAGAGATCATAAATCTATTTTTCTCATTAAACTTAATTAACTATTTCAGATTTTTTTTCTTCCCAAAGTAAATGATGCTAATAAACCCTAACTTCATAGAACAAAGTAGTAATTTTGGCCATGATGATGTATGTGAGGACCCGGATTTTATTTTCTTACTTTTATATTATTTTAATGGTTTAATTAATTATTTATTCACCTGTTTACTCCGACTAATTTATTTCATTTCTTTTAAAACCCATTGTATGCAAATATGTCTCTTTTATATTTTTAAAACGTTCCGTTCGCGAATTTAATTTTTCTATGGCTTGTTTAGCGAGAAATAGCGAATACACGTTTTTCGAGACAATATTCGATGCGAGAGTGTAATAATCTTGGAGATTTGAGGAATCATGTTTTATTCTTAAAATAGTTATTTTAGGATTATTTTCCCTAGTATTAGTGAGTTATATTATCGTTACAATAATTTCTTTTAAGTTTCGCTTTATTGCGCGAATTGGAAGTTCGCGTTTTCGCGTCAAATCGACCCAATGGAGACTTAAGAAATTTATTCTAGTCTACTAAGAGTGAGTAATTATAATGTTAAAGGAAGTACATTAGAGATTTAGTGCACAAGTGAAACAAATCCGAGAGAAATTGGATACGAAACGCACGCGCGAGCACTATTCTCAGTTGACTTTTGCACCATTAACTTGGCTTCCTTGGTACACTTCATCTACCTACCAACAAAACACAAAACCCTCATCTTCTCTTCTCCATTCCGCCGACCAAACAGCAAAGAAAAGAAAGGAAGAAAAGCTTCTTCATTCTTGCACCAATCTTCCTCCATTTCATCTCAAACTTTTGCATCCAACTCACAAACCACTTGGGAATTCACTTAAGCTAGAAGAAAGACTTCATCTTGGCGGTTTTCTTGGAGCTTTTGGTGCCAAAAATTTCTGGTTTCTCTCAAAGCTAGGAGGTAACCATCCAACACCATCCAATATTTCATTCTTGGCTTTAATGGGTTTTATCCTTGGCTTTGAAGTTTGTAGCTTTATTATTGTTGTTATTACTTGGATTGGATTGGTTGAAGTGGGCTCTATGAATTTCCACCTTGGTTGTATGGGCTGATATGATGATATAATGCTTGGTTTGAGTTGTTTAAGTGTTGTTTAAGATGATTATGGATAGAGAATTGAAGGAAAGATCGAAGGAAATTGCGTAGGAATATTGGGCCGAATTTGTCCTGTTTTGCCATGCCTTTATTTTGAAATTTTGTGGGTTATTTTTCAGTGAAACTAATGTATATATGGTGTGTAGAAAGTTTCTACCAAAAATCATTTGAATTGGTTGAGCAAAACATGAAATTTTGAAATTTAATCAAATCTGGAAACTGTGTTCGGACAGCTTGAACAGTGTCCTTTTGATCGAACATATCTTTTTGTACGGACGTCGAAATCGAGTTCTGTTTGTGGCATTTGAAACTAGACAGTAGTAGCTTTCCAACAGTATAAAATTCACTTTCTAGTTCGAAATGAGTGAGCCGTAGTGAGTCGGCAAATTTGCTGCCCTGTTCTGTTGGCCTATCCGAGAGAAAGGTAGAAGCTGCATTTTGTGGCTTTATTTTCTCTCACTTAGGAATTGATTTTGAAAATGATTTTTTCTGATGAAATGTAGCCTTATGATTCTTGGTTCCAACACCACCAACCATTCTCAATTCCAAGTTGTATTGAGTGAGATATGGTTCAATTTTCAAACTGCAACAAAACTGGAAAATCCTTCTTTTTGGCTGGCCGACTGGTTTGGTTGCTTGTGAGAGGTTTTATTTTGAAATTTTGATGTCAACCAACTATCAATTGCTTATGAAATGTTTCTTGGACCTTGGTTTCACAAATGAACCAAAATGGGACTGATTTCATAGTGCAAAGTATTTAAAAAGGGAAAGAAAACAAGAAGACAGATTTGCTTTGGGAAATTTCTTGAAATTTGGTAGTTTTGTTAACTACCTTCCCGTACGAGTTTTTACGTGAAATTTGATAGAGGAGTAATCCTCATATAAAAGTTTAATTGTACCAAATTTTGTATTATTCTAAAACCATTTCAATACCCAAATGATGTGCCAAAGTTGTTCTTCAAACCTGGAAAAATTATTGAACTGTCTTCGATTTTGGCCAACTTTGAGCTACTATATTTTGGCACTCAAAATTCCGAATTTAGTTCCGCTTGTTGTGTTTGAAACTTTGTTTAGAACTCTTATTGTAGTACGAAATTTAGATGTTAGTTCACTTTCTGTGAATTTTGCCAAATTTTCAAAGTTTGCCAAAAAAACATGATCGAAACTGTCTTGTATGCTCAAGTCAGCCACTTTGAGCTGAAATTTGAATGTCTTCCGTCTAGAATCTTAGAAAGGTGTCTTTTGGGAACTTTTAGTACTTTGAATCAAGATTCCAATACTAAGTTTTCCAATTTTGGACCTACTGAGTGCAAGATCTGATTTTTCTAAGTTTGACGCGCAAAGCTGAAATTTGCTGATTTCTTAGAAAATGAAATTTTGGGAACTTGACTTCTTATCTTGATATTGATATATTGTTTTGAACCCGATTTCGTGGGGAATATGAGTTTCTTTAGTAATTTTTGAATCTTTATTTTCGATAAAGTGAAGCTCTTATAAGGACATTGACTTGAATTTTAAAGATTGTGTACATTCTTCCTTATTTAACAAGAAATTTGTGAAAATGCGTGAGAACGATTGTTGGTCGTTTTCTTCAGACAATCAAGAAGGTCTCGAAGAGAATCCCGAAGCGGATCATTAAAGATATTTTACATTTACTCCCTTATTGTGATTTGGTGAGTGTCAAGTGCATGAATTATTGATAAATGATTTAAATTGTTAATTGAGTATTATGGAATTGTTGAGACGAATGTGTACTTTATCACACTCATTCTCCCTTAAGTGATGCTACAATTGAATTGTGCTATGTGAATTGATATTCGAATTGTGTGAAGTGAATTGTTATGTGAATTAAGTGAAGTGTTGTCATTGCAAATTACATTTATGTTGACTCGACGTCGATCGAAGTAAATCTTATCGGTAAATCGTATTTTACTCATGGGGACGTCCTTGTCCTCTCTCTCTTTGAACTACGTGGTACTTAAGACCTGAATACATATGATTTGGTAATTGTACATAAACACGTTTAACTCGTGAGTTCTGAGCGGAAGCATGTACCACACCGATTCGGGTGGGAGGTACCTCTCATACCGTCTCAATGCTATAATCGGTTCCCTGAGCGATAGTATGTACCACACCAATTCGGGTGGGAGTTACCTCTCATGTTGATTCAGAACCATAAACAATGATTGGTAATTGTACATGAATATATTTAACTCGTGAGTTCTGAGCGAATAGCATGTACCACACCAATTTGGATGGAATGTACCTCTCATACCGTTTCAGTGCTATAATTGGTTCTCGGATCGATTGCATGTACTACACCGATTCGGGTAGGAGGTACCTCTCATGTCGATTCAAAACTATAAACAAAGTATAAGTTGATTGGAGCGATGTCTCATCGA